ATCTTTTGACTGGATTCTGACTAATGGAATTATGTTTGTTGTTGCAGAAGCAAAAATGCCCATATTCGCAAATGCGGGCAGACCTCCACAAGAAACTGGAGAAGCTTGAAAATGTTGATACAGTGGTTAACCTCAGCATAGCTGTGATGGTTGTCGTTGTAATGGTCTCATCATCTTTGCTACGATGATCATTTGCACTTCACTTAATCTCTGTAGTATGATTGTCACTGTTGCAGCTTCACACCCATTATGTAATTTTTTGCACAATGCTTTAAAAAATTTCATCAAGATGATGAAAATATTGACTAACATGCTTGAACCTAGAAATGGTAGTCAGTTATGCTGCAGTCTGCAGATTACTTGGCTACTTTTGAAACCTAGATCTAGGGCTGGGCATAATACCCGAACCCGAAGAACCGAACCGAACCCGACCCGAAAAACCCGGTCCGAACCCGAACCCGAAGTTTTAAAATACCCGAACGGGTTCTAAACTTCACAACCCGAAAACCCAAACCTGAACCCGACCCGAACCCGACCCGAACTCGAACCCGAACAAGTACCCGAACATACCCAAATATAAGTACATAGTGATAATATATTAGTAATATTTATACTTGTAATAACCTAAGTGCCTAAATTATTCGGATGTTAAGATATTTCCGAGTGTTTTAACTACTTTGGGTTACATTCGAGTATAAAATACTTAGGTTTTATAGATTTTTTGAGTATTTTTCAATACTTTGCATAGAATCGGATACAAAATTTCTAATATTTGGATACTTCGGGTAAACCCGAATCCGAACCCGAAATACCCGATCCGAACCCGACCCAAACCCGAAGTTTTAAAATACCCGAACGGGTCTTAGTTTTCTAAACCCAAAAAACCTGAACCCGACCCGAATATCCGAACGCCCAGGCCTACCTAGATCTAATGTTCATGTTCATTCGGCAACAGTTAAAATCTTGGGAAACAAGATTAAGGTTGAGAAATCGGGTTTGGTGAGCTGCTTTGGGGTATGGCCTAGTAATAATGGTACCATAAAGTTTGTTACTATTCTAATTATTGTTCAATTTTGGTTCTTACTTAAAATAAAGAAATCTCTTTTTTTAAGATTTAAAAACGTATAAAAAACCACGCTATTTTTACAATATATAACGTAATTCTTGATATTGGTAAAGAAAGATGAAAAAAACTTAAGTAAATGGAAGCCAAATAAGTAGGGGGGGGGGAAGGTAACAAAGAAGTAGCCATCTTTTTCGCAACTCCTGAAACTGAGTCTGACCCTTTACTTACTTCTTTTATTGCTCTCTCTCATTCTTAATTCCAATTAATAAGTAAGTACAGAGAGAGAGTGTAAGACAGTAGACACAACACAGCACGGATAGAGAGAGAATCACATTATTTTTTTCACATTGGTCTTGCGTTTTGCTCTTGAAAATCTACCTGTACTCTTTCTCTTTTATTGTCTTGTTTGTTTGTATTAATCCACAAAAATATTTAATACTATAACTTGCATCCCTGCCCTCTTCTCTTCTCTGGTTTTGCAACTTTCTCTTTTTGATTCTCCTCTCCCTTGGAATCCACACTTTCAATTTGGTGCTTCTGAGATCTGATCTCCTCGGTGATGCTCTGCGGAGATGGCGAATCTTGTCCCCGGTGTTTTGCTCAAGCTTCTCCAGCACATGAACACCGACGTCAAAATCGCCGGCGAACACAGGTCCTCTCTTCTACAAGTCGTCAGTATTGTTCCCGCTTTAGCCGGAGGTGAGCTATTCCCGAATCAAGGCTTTTATCTCAGAGTCTCTGATTCCTCTCACGCCACTTATGTCTCTTTACCTGATGAGCACGATGATTTGATTCTTAGCGATAAGATCCAATTAGGTCAGTTTATTCATGTCGATAGAGTCGAATCTTCTTCTCCTGTTCCCATTCTTCGTGGTGTTAGGCCTGTTCCTGGTAGACATCCTTGTGTTGGTACTCCTGAAGATATTGTAGCCACTCACTCGCTAGGGTTTCTCTGTGATGACAACAAGGTTAATGATAATAATGGTGTTGCTAATTCGAAACCGAAAGAGAGAGTTAAGGCATCTGTTATTAAAGGAGGAGTGGTGTCTAATGGGAGTGGAAGTGAGGGTGAGAGAATACTAGGTAATAGACTGAGTGTTAGTATCTCTAGGGATCAATCTTCTGAGGGTAAAAAGCCCGTGTCTGCTCTATTTCGAGCGAAATCTGCCAAGTCGAGTTTGACTTTGGATGTAAAGAAGGAATCTTTGGGGAAGCTGAAGATTTCTTCAGGTTCTAAGTCTATTCCTTCTTCGCCTACGAGTTGTTATTCACTGCCTAATTCTTTTGCAAAGTTTGCAAATGGGATTAAGCAGCAACAGAATGTGAAGCCAAAGTTATTGGAGAAGGGTTCTCCTAGAATGGGGTTGTCAGATAAGGGACGGTCTCTTCTCAAGGCGGAGAGTCCGAAAGGTGGGAAAAAGCTTCCCATGATTAAGAATTTTGTGCAGGGGATCGAGTTTGGAGCTAAGGCATTGAGGAAAAGCTGGGAAGGGAATTTAGAAATCAGGAGTTCAGCAAAATCCAACCTTTCCAGACGTGATTTAACCCCTGATTCCCGGAGTTTAGCGGTAAGCTTTTTCAATCTTTCTTAGCTTTATATTTGCAAAAGGGTATATTTTAGACATGCCAAGTGCAATTTGGACAACTCCTATTCATCAGCACTTGATTTGAAGCTGAAACCACTTGTTTGAGAGCATTGTTAAACTGGTTCTACTCGTTACTATCTACTGAATCTGAGTGCGTATCATACTTTCGTCTGTGTTCCTATCGGTTACTTCATAGAATGTTATTAGTTTTTAGTGTTTTCGATTTTCTGAGTATAGCTTGTATATTTTTGGTTGCTAGGCTCCACGGAAAAGCACATCAAGTGAGAAGTTGCCAAGCAAACAGGAGAGGGCTAATGTATTTGCAAGATCATCAAAGGAGCACAATAAGATTCAGTCAACCAAGAAAGTCGAGACAACCGCAATATCGGACACCAAAGATAAAACGAGTAGGCCTAAATCTACATCTGTCGAGAAGAAATCTATTGCAGAGAATGGATTGCCTGGGAATTTGGTCAAAGTCCCTGTTAATGGTAAAAGATTAGCGGCAGCCAATATCCAATGGAGTTCACTCCCTTCATCTCTTTCGAGGATGGGACAGGTATGGGCTTGACTCTGTTGGATCCTTATATGTGCTTGCTTCATGATTAGGCCGTGAAGCATTTCTACTGATTAAGAAAATTCATCTTCAAAACAAGCATATTAGAAATTCGATTGTCCATATGCAATTTCTGTAAGCAAAATACTGACTGTGGAGGATCTAAATTTTTCTCATCTGTTGTTTGGTTTTTCTTACTTGAACCTATCTCCAATCTAACATATTATTTACTCCAGTGATAGAATAAAACCTCTTAGTATAGCATATGCATCTTATGTTAAGTCTTTCGCATCGTGACTGAAATTTCAAGACAAGCTTATTGACTCGTTGCTGCTATCAATATTTGCAGGAAGTCTTGAGGCATAGAGATGCTGCTCAAGTTGTCGCAATAGACGCCCTGCAAGAGGCCTCTGCTTCCGAGAGCTTACTTCAATGCCTCATGTGCGTAATATCTTAACTAAATTTATTCATGCCGGTTTTGGATGTTTGAGGGACAAAACATATATGTTTTTATATCTGAATGTTACTGTTACTGCCTTGGTTGTTTCTGAACATTGTTCTGCTTTTCCTTTTTGTAGTATATACTCCAATCTTTTGTCAACCGCAAAGGAAGATGATCCATTGCCAGTCGTTGAGCAGTTCTTGAAGCTCCATTCCGGTTTGAAGGACGTCCAAATAATAGCAGAGTCATTGTCCAAATTAATTTCTTCGACGTCCTCCCCAGAAAATGAAGAAAACAGATCCGAGGAAGCTATAAAAGCGGCATCGGAAAAGCAGAAATTGGCAGCATCATGGGTCCAAGCTGCGCTAGTCACTAATTTATCGTCCTTCTCTGTCTACTCCAGCAAACAAGCCAAACTTGCTGCCTCCAGAAGCAAACCTGTGATCATACTCGAGAGCCCGGGTAATAATTCCTCTGGTAAAACCCGTGGGACTGTCCAGAACAAGCCAACGATTGGATCTAAACTCGTAGCACAAGGCATGATTCGTAAACACAGGGAGAACAGTAGCAGCCAAAAGGCCACCTCAGTAGCAGGTTCGGAATCTCCACCGCTAAACTGGGTGAAAGGAAATGGTCTAAACGAGGCAACTGATCTGGCAGACAAGTTGCAAATGGTTTCACAAGATTGGTTTTTGGGTTTCGTAGAGAGATTCTTGGACGCTGATGTGATTACATCATCGAATCTGAATCTGTCCGACAACGGGCAGATAGCGGGGATGCTGTCTCAGCTGAAGAGTGTGAATGATTGGTTAGACGAGATTGGGTCGAAAGAGGATGAAGAAGGATTACAAGAAGTCTCTAAAGAAACAATTGATCGATTACGGAAGAAGATCTACGAGTATCTGCTCACACATGTGGAGTCAGCAGCTGCAGCACTTGGTGGTGGTGGTGGCTCAGTCTCTTCTCCTAGACCCAAACCAATCGAATCCAAAGCAAAAAGATAAATGATGGATGAAGCTTCTACTTATTTGTTTTTGTTTGTATATATGAAAATTGGCGGCCAATTTCTTCTGTATAATTCAATTCAGACATCACTAAGAAGCCTACCGACGTGAAACGTTGGTATTTTTTATTCAGTCAGATACTGACTAAAGAGAACCTATTGGTTCGAAAGATTACAATATATTTCTATCCAATTATAACAATTTTGTTTCTCTAGCGATTAAGATTAGAAGATGAACAGAAACCAAAATATCATCTGAAGGTTTAGATCCATCACAAATGTGTAATTTACAAAAATATGTTGATTTATGCGAAAATGGAAGCAATCGATAAAAGTTGATTTGTTTATGTTTTATCTGTAAATAATAGAAAACTACAAGGTCCGAAAAGAAAATAATAATCTCCGAACAAGTCCCTCCCATCATCCCAATTCCCATGTGGACTCTTTGAAATCTAAGGTTTTGCCATTTGACCACAGATCTGTGAATTTTCAAGGGATTCCAACACAAAATCCAATCCGATGAATCAGAAACCTCCGCCGTACGGTTATGGCGGCGCTGGTGGTGGAGGAGGAGTTGGACCTTCTTCCTCTTCCAACACCACTATCATCGGGACGTTGAGTGCACGCGCCAAGCAGACGACGCAATCGATGATCACCACGCTCCGTCCATGGCGAGAGCTTCTCGATCTGTCTGCGCTATCTCTCCCTCGTGGATACGATGAAGCCATGGCGCATCTAAGGCACAACATCTCTTATTTCCGTGGAAACTACGCTCTCACCGTCCTCGCCATTGTTTTTCTCGGCCTTATTTACCACCCGATGTCTATGATCGCTTTCATCGTCGTCTTCATCGGATGGATCCTACTCTATTTCTCGCGAGACTCGAACGATTCGATTGTGATTTCGGGGAAAGAAGTAGATGACCGGATCGTGCTGGTTTTACTCAGCTTGGTAACGGTTTTGGCATTGGTGTATACAGATGTGGGCGAAAACGTTCTGGTTTCGCTGATCATTGGTTTGCTCATCGTCGGAGCTCACGCCGCTTTTCGTAATACTGACGATTTGTTTCTTGATGAAGAAAGTGCCCGCCGTGGTGGACTGGTATCCGCCGCTTCAGGAAACCGGCCACCGTCGAGTTATACCCCAATTTGAGTAAAACCGGTTTGGAGAGTTACTTGGGTGTTGATTGAAGAAGCTAAGGGAATCAATTTAGGGCTTTGTATTTTTGCAATTCCCAAGATTCTTGTATTTTGTATTTGGGCGTGTGTTTCTTCATTTTGTTTGAATGTGTATACAACAAATTCTGGGAAAAAATTTGGTGTTATAGAATTGATATCGGCTTTGATGGGTATTTTATACATTTTCCAAAAACATAATAATTTCATACATTTTCCGAAAAGAAATTTATGCATTAACCAGATGAAAGAAATTCCATAGCGAACAAAACCAGCAAGTTAAATTTTGAGAATCCTTTGGTCTACAACACTCGGTACAATCATCTCAACTGAATAATAATGCAACAGAAGAAAAACCAAGTAGGAAAGAACTAATCTTCTTCGAGATTGATAGAATCTTTGAACTTCGCATACAAGACCTTCTTCAACGCTGCCATTTGTGTTACAATTGATTTCTTCTCTTCCTCAAGCTTCTCAAGGCTTTTGCAAGTGGCCTCTTTCATCTCTTCTATCTTTGTTTCTACATCGTCCCTGGGCACATGAGCAAACACTTCTCCGATTTGAAACCGCACCATCTCCTCATCAGCAAGGATCAACTCGTTCCCTGCATCATCTAGATTTTCACACTTTTCCTGCATAATCGAAACTCTTTTTAATCAAGCTTTTGGGTCATACAGGACAGGGCTTTATCTTGCAACAAGTGATATAGATGTAAGTGTTAAACAACAACACTCTTAATGAAACACACAGTAGAATGCTATTTTGATTCCCCTAATGAAACGAAAGAAGAAGACAAGTATCCACTTATTATTATTACAAAGTCCCACATCTTCTTTTCAAAACAATGATGATAAGTGCCGATTGGTGTTGACAATAGCTGATTACCGATAGAGCCTGGAAGGCTTATTTAATCACACACAATGAAGGAGGTAAAGTGAAGGAAGCAGTGATATGGAAGAGTGCACAGGATTTTGATGTTTGTTACTACCGATGATGGTGGTATAAGCATGTGTCACAGTAGATTGCTACAAGCTAAAGAATATGTAAAATGAGATATGAGAGTCTTAATCATGATCCTACACTAGACCAACAACACTTGGATTGTAGCTGTGCTGATTTCAGCAACAATGAGTTAATCAGTGAGCTGAGAGCAAACCGATGAAAACGAAATTGGGAAATTCTGAGGGAAAAAATATCCAATAGAATAGAGAAAGAGTTCACGGGATTAGATCTAATCACAGTATTCCACGACCTAAACATAGAGAACGAATTCAATCCTAATAACCCATGAATTCTATCTAATCTTTAAAAGAAACAAACCCAAAAGAGAAGGAAAAACCTTGGCGGATTTGATTTCATCATCGAGATCGTGGAATCTGTTGTTGAGACGGCTGAAGGTATTGATGTTCTGCTGGTCCTCCCATGTCACCTCCATCTCAGATCCACTCTTACTTCCCTGCAACATCATCATCCATTAATTAGCATATACTCAAACAACAATTGAACAAAACTATGATTTTCTTACTTGCTGCTGCATTTTTCGTTTTTCTCTCTTTGGGACTACTAATTTGACAAGGCCAATTCTTTCTTTCAAGGACACTCTCTACTTTCTTTCTCCCGACCGATTTTTTTATTAGGCTTCGTCCAGAAACAATGGCTAGAAAGCCATTTTCTCACAAAAGTTGGGCTAGAATGCCATTCTCTATTTTTAATTTTATTTAACAATTTTTTTAAAATCAAAATCTGTAGAAAAAGTCAAAAAAACCCTTAATATCTACTAAAAATTACATATCCAACCATACTAAAAATTACATATCCAACCATGAGAGACCAAATCCATACAATTATACGTGTTCTCTTCTTCATCGTAGTTTTTTTTTATCTTTTTTTTTTTTTTCTGTTGGATTTCTCTTCTTTTTAACTGAGTTCCAAAAATCCCCAAATCTAATTCTATGAAATTCAATCCAAAAGTCATTTACGTTAAGAATCGAAATCAGAGTTTGGGAAATAGTTAATCTCGATTAAAATTCTTCAATTTCAGCAAGATTTCTGCTTCTTAGATTCATGAAAATTTTTAAATTTTGAAATCGTCGTATGAATCTGTTTTACGATCTAAGCTTACTGCGGCGGTTCCAGTTTCACCACCAACCTATCTTCCACCAATTGTGTATCCATAACCTTGTTGTAAACCAGCTCGAACTTTTTGACGATCTCCGTCACGATACGAATCTGGTTCGTGTCAACGAGGACGTTGAGGTAGTTGGAGGTATGTGATTGGAGAGACGATTGGTTAGGAATCTACTCGCCACCGAACTCACCTCACGATCACTTCATCGGCTATAAATTCCTATTCGATTCTTCCGAGAACCCAAACTTCAGTTGAGAACCCAAGTCTTCTCATATGTACATGTACTCAAATTCTTCGCGAATCCAACGATCATAATCGAGAAGAAACATCAAGTCATCGACCACATCGTGATATCACTCGACGCTAGACCATTTAATAACGAGTTGTTGCCGGATCGGTTTAAAGTTTGGGGAGAGATTGAAATGATGACTTTGGAATTAAGTGAAGAGATGTTGGGTTTGGTCAAAGCAAGAAGAATAAATCTTCCCAAAGTTGTCGGAGTTAGTGGTTTGTTCTGTTTTGATAATTGCAGACCGATTTTAAGAGGAGACAGTGCCTAACTCGGCGGAGAGATTTGGCATCTATGAGGAAAATGCCCAATAATTAGAACATCTACCACCCGTTTTGTCTAGTTCATTTAAGAAATCTAGTTCAATGGTTCTGGTTTAGATTAAAGTAAGCTTTAGTTTTTAAAGCCAACAAGGTAATTCAATGTATATTATAAAGTAACGGAGATAGAATATAAATTTTGGGATTTTTGTTGCCGATAACTTTTATGTATGCAATCGGTTTTGTAGGTACAACTAGTACATTTATGTACAACTACGTCTAAAAATTTGTATGTTATAAACATAGTTGTTCTCAAGTGAACAGTTGTACATTAATCCTCATAGTTGTATTTTTGGCGATTTTTGCGTATTTGTAGTTGGACCTTGATATAAATTATTATGTTGTAGTTGACTACATAATTTTTCTCTATTAATTATCATTTAGAAGATTTTATCTATTCAACTAGTTCAACTTGGTTCAACTTTGTTTATGTATGGTAAAGTGGGTTTTTTGTTTATGTACTTTGGTGGTATTTTGGTATAAATGTAATTGTTAGGTACAACTGAGATTTAATTATTCGGTCCAACTAGGTAAATTGAGAAAGAAGAAAACAAAATATAAATTAAAATTATCTAATGTAGACAATTTAAAATGTTTTAAAATCATCCAATGTGTGGTAAAGTGCAGAGTTATGGGCCCGACTAAAATACACTTTTAGATTTGGCGGCTGGATATACTTATAGTTTTCCAGTTGTACTCTCATATTCATAGTTGGACTTTGGTAAATTTTTCGTATTTACAGTTGGACTATAATATAAATTATTAATTAGTAGTTGGACACATAATTTGGGCATTATTAAACTAATTTGTCTATTTTTGGTTTTTGTGATAATATTTAATATAATTAGTTCAACCAGTTCAACTAAGTAACGCTAAAATATTTAAATTTGTTGATTTTTCATAACTGATAATTTATTATAAATGTAAAATTATATATTAAATACCCCAAAATATAAACAAACTATTTTTGATCAATACAATAAAAATTTAATAATTTCTAAGAAAGATGTTATTTTCACATAAAACACCGCTTTTACTATAAGGAATACTTAGTATATGATCCTCTTATATGAAATAAAAAAGGTGAAAACCAAGTTTTCACCAATGTTCCATTATGAAAACTTTGGAAATGCAAAATAATTTAGAAAAATCATGTGTCCAACTTGTAATTATTTATTTACAGTCTAGTCCAACTGCAAATTATGAAAACTGTGGAAAGTCCAACTATGATTACGATAGTACAATTGGACAACTATGAGTATATTCTGTCATATAAAACAAAAAAAAACAAAATTAGTGGAGCCCACATATTGGGTAAGTACGACATTAAATAAAAGCCAAGCGTTTCTTTGAGTTTCGTTGGGACCCACATGCTGAGTGTTTTTATATTTTTTAATTTTTTCTTTTGCTTTTTAAAAATTAAAGAAAGAATAATTCATTAAGGGTAAAATGATGATAACACATATATAGTGGCATACAGATTATAAAATGGCGGGCTAGATTCATTTTTTCGGTTTAGTGGCAAACTAGCCTGTGACTCCTTGGTCCAACTGGTATTTCCCGGTTTATGGTTTTAACACCAAATTTTTTATTGATTTTTTGGTATTTTTCGGTCCACTTCGAATTGGTAATTTTGCTTATTTCATTATTGATTCGTAAAGTTGTAACATATTTTACTTAAGGAACTAAATGATGCTACTAGTTTAGTGGTTATACCATCTTGTTAGACGTTAGAACTGTGAATCAATTAGTATTATGTTTTACTTGTTTCGACCAACAACAACAACAAAAGTTTCTAGAACAAAACCTAAATCAAGTAAGAGTTCGTTTTTCCAACCTAAACTACTAATGTTTGTTTTTGGATTCTGTCTCAAGAATAAATCAAGCTCCAGAATCTCCCCAGGCATTTAACAGAGGGATCCCATTTAAAATGGCAAATGGTAATTCTACAAACCCTACTTTTAAACAACACAAAATGTGTGGTAGAAGAAACTTCAAGAACTCTTTGTTTCTGTGTTTTGTAATATCATACCATTAAACTTTCACCAGAAACCCTATCTCTTCTGTACATTCATTAAATAAACCAAACAGAAAAAACTTCTTCACCCTTTTTCTTCTTCCGGGATGAATTTTTTTTTTTGAGGAAATGAGCTAGAGATCTGGGATTTTCACTAATCCATTGAATCAAAATCCCCTTCTCTATCCTTCTACATTACTTTTTGTGCCTGCCGCGCTCTATCTTGGCGCGGTCAGCACCATAAGAGAGATTAAAACCATTTCCTCGATCAACCTCTTACAACTTCTGTTTTTCCTAATTCTCGCATACTTGTACAAGAAGGCACAAAATCGCAAAAGATTTAACTTCTTGTGATACATAATCATAACGTGCCTGCGATTTCTAATATATAACAACAGAGAAAGATGGTGAGGGTAGGAGAAGCATTGAGTGTATCAACCTCATCGTCTTCATCGTTCTACGATAGCGAAGTAGAAGAGCTTCAAAAGATGCCATTGGAACCACCTAGAGTTAAGACTAAGAAACGTCTCTCCAAGCAACTCTCCATGTTAGAGACCCGTAGAGACATCGCATGGGAGCGTCGCCGCCGCCAGATGCTTCATCACCTTGAGAAGCATAACGAAGGAGGAGATGACTTGACGGACGAGGACTTGAGTGAGCTCAAAGGTTCTATTGAGTTAGGGTTCGGGTTTAACGAGGAGCAAGGGCAACATCTTACAACTACATTGCCTGCATTGGACCTTTACTTCGCTGTGACTCGTCAGATCTCGCCGGTTTCTACACCAGGCAGCGGTGGATCTTCTTCATCCTCCCGACCTACTTCTCTTGGAGACCGATCTTCCTCTTTTGGTAGTCCTATAAGCGACTCTGATTCTTTGAAGGTTATGTCTCCAGGTAACTATATATATATCCTTTTTTTTTCATGTCGTCACACAATATAAACATAGCAACCTAAACTTTTAGTCAGATTGATATTATTATATGGTCGTGTTTTAATGTCATTCGATGAATTTGCAGGAGATAATCCTCAACAGGTTAAAACGAGACTGAGGCATTGGGCACAAGCTGTAGCATGTTCTATGATACAATCTTCCAATTAAGGAGAGAAGTGAGAGATGGGTTTATACAAGAGTGGGACATGAATGATACTACACAAATTTGACTGAGACAAAGGAAGTGTTGTAGAAATTAAGCAAGCTTAAGAGAGATTAATTAAGGAGTTGATTAAGACAGAGGAGGACAGATTATTGAAGTTTCAAACTATAAGAAGAAATGGAAAAGAAGCATGGAGGTCTTACATGTTATTCTTGAACCCCTTTTTTTTCGCCAAAGACAAAGTTTTAAATATTTTTAGATATCACTACTTTTAACAGTAAGAAAATACTTTAGATACTAGGTTTTTGCTTCTCTTCCTCATTTTTTCCTTTTAATTATCTTTTTTAAATTTGTACTATGACTTAATCAAACTTCTTGTTATTTTTCAAATTCGAGGTTCTTTGTTTTAACCTTTTTTCCTTATCCCCAACAAAAGAAATATGAGTTTAACAAAGGACATTCCGTATATATAATCAAGAAATGTACAATAAGTTACAAAGTTGCATGACTCTTTTAACATGCTAAACAAAAGTATCAATCTAACTAGTAAGAAAAAAAAAAATCAAATGAGAACTTCAGAACAAAACCCACATTCACTCTTCACTCAAAATCTAGAAGAAAAATGTAAAACAAACACAAAGAATGTGAAAACCCACAAGGAATTATGAACACCAAACCCAAAAATGAAATTGTAAAAAATCTGATATCTTTGTATACGAAAGGCGGAAATGGGAAGGCCATGAAGATGCTGTACAGTTCCTTTAAGCTTTTCTCACCACTCTTGAAGTTTGTTTAGTTTCCTCTACAATATCCTCTCCACAAATTTATCTAACACATAAAAACAGAACAACATATGAATAATTAGATCTTTGGACAAAGAGCTCAAAGTTCCGCAGGTGAAGTTATCTGAAAAACCAAAATCAACACAACAATCAGAGAAGAAGAGGAAAGAACATACCTTTGTGAAGGTTGTTGCCCAGGGCATCAACTCTCTGTATGATTTTGTCTTTTCATGCCGACACTCCGCAGAATTTGCAAATGAGAAGCTATTTCCTTGACAAATTCCACGCCTTCCTTCCCGTGCCCGAGAGAATTCATCACCTGTTCTAGAAAGTAAAAGTCTCCCTTAAGCATTTCTACTCTCTCATGTAGCTCAGTGACAGACTCTTGTGCTGGTAGATTATCGCCATGAGCCTCACCATTTACTCTGTTTTCAATCTTCTCCAAACAACTGGTGATATATAATCTCTCTTCGTCAAACCCAACTAAACAACTCTGTATCTTGTTGCTCATTCCCTCACTAGGTGAATCCATCTCAGTCACCTTTTCTGGAACATCTAGCTTATTCTTCTTCTGCGGGGTCTGGTCCCGGAAGTATTCAATCTCAGCTTCTAAATCTTGAATTAGTTTTTCTCTCTCAACAAGTAAATCATTCAGTCTCTGTATTGCTTCCATGTCATACTCTGCTTGCTCTTCCATCATCCTCAGGTTCTGCAAAGCTTCCATTTGGAATGACGCCTTCTCTTCCTGCAACCTCGTAATCATAGCCATTGCTTGATTTGTAGCAACCGCTGAAGCACTTCTTTCTTCCTCTAATTCTTTATATAAACCACTCAGCAATTTCCTGTCATAATCAACCTGCCTTTTCAGCCGATCACTCTCACTTTCTCCCTCGATTTCACTCACAGAGACTTCTTCCAACGATAAGTTACTCTCGTTCCTTTCAAGCATTCTCTTCTGAAGTAGCAGCTGCATATCATGATCTAGGTTCTTTGTCTCCTGATCACTACTGTTAACAGATATTTTCGGGCTTACATCTCTAGGCGACAAAAACTCTATCCCTCGAGAAGCTGATATTTGAGTAAGAAGTGCTTTAAGGTCTTCGCTAACTCTAGATGTATCTTTCTTCATCCAATTCTCTATTTGTTGTCTTCCATTGCTATCGTTGTTACCCTCATTTCCTACAACGATATTATATGCATCCGCAAGGTCCAGTAACTCACCTGAATATTGATTTGTTTCTGCTGCCACCGACATTGAGTTGAAGGAAGAAGATTCTGACTCAAGAGCTGCTTCTGTGTGAGAAGTGACGTCCCGTGGAGCCATTTCAGACAATGAAGAGACCGTAAGAGATGTCTCTTTCATTTCTTTGTTGTCTGATACACCTGATATGAAAATTCATTTGCTTTATCAGAGACCCATATCTATTAGTGTAAAATTTTAAGCTTACACAAGCGCACAATATATCTTTGATTTACAGTTCCATAGCCATCATACAGGCAAAGCGGGGAAAAAAAACACAGTCCTTGCGTTCAAATGGAATTTAAACTTACAGTTTTCGGTTGAATTTTGAGGCATGGAATTTGGAGATGGTACAACTATATATTCAGATTCCAGAGAGTTAATATCAGCTTGGTGAGGGTCCCTCTCCTTTGACATCTCAACAAAGGTTTCATCTGTAGTGAGTGTTTGAGGAACCTCGTCAAGAGACTTATCATGGATGGACATAAGTTCAATTCCCTCTAAAACAACTTCAAGAGTTTCAGCAGCCTCTGATGTTGAAGTAGCATCATTGAGGCAAACAAGCTCAGTCTCCTCCATTAAGGAGGCATTTGCAGGATTTTCCTTAAAATCTGGTGTTGAAGTTATATCTTCGTGGCGAACCAGCTCTGCTTTATCCTCTATAACAACTGCAGAATGTTCCATGGCGCGTGATGTTGAAGTAACTTCATTGAGGCAGATAAGCTTAGTCTCCTCCATTAAGAAGGCATTTGCAGGATCTTCCTTCAAATCTGGTGTTAAAGATATATCTTGGAAGCAAATCGACTCTTCATTCTCCTTTAAAATAACTGCAGAATGTTCCATGGCGTGTGATGTTGAAGTAACATCATTGACGCAAATAAGCTCAGTCTCTTCCATTAAGGGGGCATTTGCAGGATTTTCCATAAAATCTGGTGTTGAAGAACTATCTTGGAGGCGAATCGGCTCTTCTTTATCCTTTAAAACAGCTTCAGAATGTTCAATGGCACGTGATGGTGAAATAACATCATTGAAGCAGACAAGCTCAGTCTCCTCCATTAATGAGGAATTTGCAGGATTTTCCTTAAAATCTGGTGTTACAGAAATATCTTGGAGGTGAAGCGGTTCTTCTCTCTCCTTTAGAATAACTTCAGAATGTTCCATGGCGCGTGATGTTGAAGTAAAATCATTGAGACAAATAAGCTCAGTCTCCTCCATTAAGGAGGCATTTGCAGGATTTTCCTTGAAATCTGGTGTTAAGGAAATACCTTGGAGTCGAATCGGCTCTTCTTTCTTCTTTGGAAAAGCTGCAAAATGTTCCATGGCGCGTGATGTTAAGAAAAGATTATCTAATGAATTGATCTCTTCCTCCTTAAAAACCTTCTCTGATGCTTCAGGCACATCATTAACTGGGATAATCTCGGGAAATGAGGAATAAGTTCTCCATTTGCTCTCTTGCAAATGAACTTCTTCTCGGTCATTTAGAGTCAGTAAAGGCTCCAAAGGGAAATCAAAGTTTAGCAGCTTGTCGGTAGCCAAATCATAAGGCAGGGTGATAATTGGAGGAGTCTCAAGATCCACGGTTTCATACTTATGATCCTCATCTTTTAGGACGACACCTTCATCTTCTGAAAATACAGCTTCTGATTCAGTATCTGAATGGATCTTGAGCTCAGTGTACCCAACATCAGGCAAATGATTAAAGCTGGCACTCTTCTTGGGTGTAGATGGTTTCTCGGTTCTCACATCACCAACAAAACCAATCTTGGGCTCATTGTACCCAACATGAGTGAAATGGCTAGATGAAGATTCTTGCTTTGGTTTAGTATCTGAAAATAGAGCTTCTGATTCAGTATCTGAATGAATCTTGAGCTCAGTGTACCCAACATCAGGCAAATGATTGAAGCTGACACTTTTCTTGGGTGTAGATTGCTTCCCGGTTCGCACTTTACTAAGCAAACCAATCTTGGGTAGCATTTCCCGTTCAGCCACCTGAGTAGCAGCGGTTTGAGGCCCCCACAACTGATTGCAACATGTACAATCTGTAAGTTTAGAGCAATTTGGATTTGTGCTGCGATCACTCTTGGATCCAAAGTAAGAATTATCACCCAATTTACCAACCAACAATCTGTAAGTTTCAGCATTTGACTTATTGGTTGTAGCAAAAGAGAAGAGGCAAGTTTCGCACATTCCACGGACATCAACAAGCTTGCCGTGAGCATGACAGTAAACCAATGACGAGATCTCTGATTTGTGTATAGAGCAAATCATATCCCAATGAGTTTTCTTCGAATGTTTTGTCCTCCCGAGAATATGATCAAGATTTGAGCACATCAGACATGGAGATTGAAGCTCGGAGTAATCTGCAAACCTAGCGATCACGTAGGAGAAGATGGAGTTAACAAAGAGCATGAACATCAGTAGCCACTCATTAAAGGCTAATGCCAAAGCTCTAGTGAAACTCCGGGAACCCATCTGTGATTTAACTGCAGACATTTTTCTAGTAGGCATCTTTTTGCAGAAACATAAGATCAAGACTCAATCAGGCTTCAAATCTGCATCAATGGAGATACACATCAAACAATTAGCAAGAGTACAAAATATACTCAGAGAAGATAAATGAGACCAAAGTTGCTAGAGATTTCAGATTAAGACAGATTCTTGAATACAGCAAGAGACAATGAAACAAACTTGATTAGTGCAAAAATAACAACTAATATCCAGAATCCAATCCGATTTACAAATGATATTTGCAGATTTGGGAGAAACAGAGACAAGAAGAGAAAGTTGACCAAAACAAAACCAAGCTTACATAATAGTAGTAATTAATTATCTCCAGTACAGGAAGATCAAATATTTATCTCAAAGTCAGAAATTGAAGCAAAAATAAATTCCAACAAAGAGTTTAAACCACTCTAAATCAAAAGTTTGCCACAATAAGGAAAAGAGATCTAAAAGAACAATTGACAGCTCAACGAGCAGAGATCAAAATTATAATGAAAGGTCACCAACTTAGCTAAAGATAATATACTAAATAGATCAAATCATAGGATCAAAATTTTATATGATCAACCAACAAAAAATGCTCTGTTATAGAAAAATCTAACCTTTTGATCATGAGGATCACCAGAGTCAATACAAGTATATCTTTGGATCCAAGTCTCAATGACAGAGTAGAAAGTGAAATTCCAAAATCTAGCAAAGTTGTGATTTTTGAGAGAGAGCTTCCCAGAGAACATTGATCCCATTTATATATTTTTTAAAATAAAAAAAACCCAAAAGGTAACAATAGACCCAGCAAGGACTGCTGCACGTAGTCTTCACAATTAAATCACTTGATTTTTAAATTAATAAAAATTCGTTGTGAGAGACATTGAATGAGAGATCTTATTTGATTGACCAAACCAGGGAAAACAAAAGATTATCATTGTGGAAACAGACTAAAAATGCTGTTAAAAAAACTCGTAATATTGGTATTAATCCTTAAATATTTTGTAACATTTTTGGTCGAGTTTTTATTTTTCTTACGAATAATTATGAAATATTGTTAGGCAAAGATTGAAAATGAAGATGGAGAGATGTGGAGAGGGACGGGAAAGTCGGCTACTGATTACAGAAACGGCTGCCGAAAGTTACAATTTGAGAAAGGTATTGTGGAAACAATTTTTTTTTTATTATATAAAAATATAATAAGAATTTTTTGTTTTTTTATTAGGGTATTTAAAAATTTTAATTAGATGTTTTGTTCAGCATTAAGCAACCGACTAAAATACTTCAATTTGAGTTTAACTAACTGTTTTTGTATCAAATTTTGTATCTGTTTTTGCCTTTTTGGACGGAAAAAAAAAAAAAGTAGAACACACCAAAAGTTTTGGCTGTGATGTGCTTCCATCTTTTTTTATATACTTTTCTTGTTGCTCATTTTTTATTGTTAATTATTACTCCGTCTGTTCCTAGAAGAAATAATCATTGTTTAATTATTTATTTTTATTAAATATTTTTTAATAAAATATGAACCAATATTAATCTGAAACAGTTAATCATTACGTCTTGAAATCTACGATTTATTAAAATCAATTAATTAAAAATAAAAAAAAATCTAGAAAATTAATCTTTGTGAAACAAACTCAAAACACTAAAACAACAAACTTCAAGGAACAGAGGGAGTATTATTAGCGGGCCTATAGAGATTAGGAGCCGTAAACAATAGCTTTATTTGGTTGTCCAGTGCTTACATTACTTAGAGGCTAGAGCTCAAACGTCATAATTAAGGGCCATGGATGTATTAAATTCTTTGCATGAAGAACAATAAACGGAACAGGGATAATGTCTATATTTATTATATTGATGCCATTTTCAAGTGATAATTACGTGTGGCTTCATCTCTTTCATTTACACTTATCCATCCTTAATTAGTTATAGAGGTCCTACATTTCTCGATTCATTATAGTTTCTCATTTCTTAAAATATAAAGATCACACATTTTTGTGTATGAGCAAAGCTTTTAATACAACTCTCATTCATCTTGTTTTTATGGACTAAAAGGCAACACGAGTTCCCATTAACGCTGCTCGAACTGATGTGATTTGCAACAATAGCTCTCTCTACATCATTCTTTTTTTTTTTCCTCTACATCATTCTTAAGCATGAGGGTTTAATGCATATTAGCTATGAATTTATATTTTGCTGAATATGTGGATTTGACTTGGTAGATTCCAAAGATGAATTATATGGAAGACATAATAACATGTATTTAATTACAATATACAAGTCTTAAATTGGATTTTATTCATGTAAATGGGTAGACAAGTTTAGATTAGTTACAAGTTTAAGCGTGAAAGTATTATTGGAGAAAGAGTAATGTGGTGTACTACTTAAGCAAAGATCAACAATAAGAATGTTTTACAAACAAAATATATATGTAATTTGATCACATTTATTATATAATAATTTTATGAATTAGAGTTAGTTTTGATCCGTTTTAATTTCTTATTATGTAAAAAAAAATATTAATGAAAAGAGGTTAATGACAAAATCAAAAAAAAAAATCGAGTAATGGAAAGATATTCCAAGATTTTTTCATATTTCCATTAATTATAACAAAATCCCTTAATTATCGCATTTAATTCAGATTATTTAATATGATTATACAAACTTAAAATAGAAAATAATCTTTTTAAAATCCCGTGGTTTTTGGAAACCTATTATAATTAATATCGATTTATCAGTAACAAATAATTATTTCTTAATTCAAAAATTTGTGTAGAAAAAATGACGCACACATGAGACCATTACAATATCATCAACAATAGAAATTCTTCAAGAATATTGTTTCATGCGGGTTGATTTTTTTTTAATAAACAATAGGTTATATCAATAGATAATCTTTTAAAAAAAAAATTAATTTTTAAAAAGAAACATAGCCCTTGAATTTACTACTATTTACGATGGCATCCCATTGGCATTTATTATTTAGATTTTCAAAATTAAATCAAAGATATTAACCTAAACAATCATTACCAAAAGATCTCTACAAAATATATTTATTAGCCATAACTATCCTTGCTACAATTACATCCATACTGCATTGTTATAATATTTATTTACTTAAAAATATCATTATTGACATATATAAAATTATTTATATTATTTAAAAATATTATAATAAAATGCAAACAACAAAAGAAATTAAATTTAAATCCGCCATACATCGTTACTTAATGAACTGTATGTTTTCATTTCTATATTTTAAAAATTGAAACCTAAAACATACTAATCGTACACTGAATAATATATAGATATATATGTACAATTTAAAAAAAAACTATAGGTTATATCTGTAGATAAACTTCAAAAGATTTAAATTTCGACTTTTAAAAATAAAATATAGCCCCGCGGTGTACCGCGGGTCAATTTCTAGTTTAATTACAATATACAAGTCTTAAATTGGATTTTATTCATGTAAATGGGTAGACAAGTTTAGATTAGTTACAACTTATGCAGTGAGCATTTTAGCTACTTATATCCTAGAGAAACCAAAAAACATATGAGATTATGTCTTTCTGGTCTCTTTATTCGTGTACATAAAATTAGTAGTCTCATTAATAAGATTCACAAGGAAAAATAAAAACAAAGGAGAAAATGTCACAATTAAAGCATATTAGAGAGCTCCATCAAGTGGCTCATCTCTTCCATTTGGCCCCCAGCAGTACTTGTTTCCTCCAAAAGCCATTTCTCAATAAATGTCAATGGTGGTGTAGCATTATGATGATCATCATCATCATCACCATCTTCATGATGAACATCATCACCGTTGTTACTCTCTGAATTCTTGACACCCTGATCATCCCCGTTGATTCCTTTGCTATGACCCTCTTCCCAAGAACCTTGAAGCTGCTCGTATGGAAACTGATCAGTGTGATGATCGATGAAATTGTTTGTCCGGTTCTGCATTTTCTGTTCCAAGAAAGTAGTAGTAGTTGTACTAGTCTTTGGAGATGCTCTCATCCAACCCTCAAGAAGGCGGGAAATGTTTTCGGTGCTTGAAGCATAGGTAGATCTATGATTAACGGTGTTTCTTGTGGCGGAAGTTTGCAACACCATGTTCTCTGATCTGCTTCTCTCGTCACTCTCGGACTTGTTGAGCTTCTTCTTCAAATGTGTGTTCCAGTAGTTCTTGATATCATTGTCCGTTCTTTGTGGTAGATATGAAGCTATGGACGCCCATCTTTAGAGAATAAAGCCAGTTTAGGGTTCATATCATCAAAGATAAAATAACAAGAAAAATATTCAAAGATAAAGAGATGTCGAAGATATTTCTTTTAAGATTACTTGTTACCCAATAAGGCTTGCAAGTGAATGATCATTCCTTCTTCATGAGGAGTAAAGTTTCCACGTTTAATTCCAGGTCTCAGATAATTTGTCCATCTGAGCCTACAACTTTTGCTGCATCTCAGTAGCCCTTTTAAAAGCCAAAGATACAAACATCAAGACACATATATACAAACAAAGAAAAGAAAAACACTAGAAGAAAACATGTTAGAAAGATGATGACCAGTATTGGTGGGAACAGATCTCCAGTTTCCAGGACCGTGTTCTTGGATGTAAGAAACAAGAATGATATCTTCTTCAGGAGTCCATGGTCCTTTCTTGATCCCTATCTTGTCACAGCATGGAGGCCTACCCATCTTTCTCTCTCTCCCTCTATCTCTAGATCTCTCTGAGTCTTATGCTCTCTTTATAGATATGAGAATATATATATATGTATGTATATGAATTAAATGCAACATATATGTACATATATGTGAAATTAATGGGTGACTTAAAGAAGAGGGAACAACTTTTAAATCTGCTTTTTCTTGACAACCTCTTTTGGATCTGCCAAGCTCACGAGTCACTCTGCCTTTTCCATTAACTATTTTGCGTAGTCAATTAACGAAGATAGGTTGATCTCCACACGAAAATGTATATCTTCCTTAAGAAAACGTTACTAGATTATTTATGTAGTGAACGAGATCCATCAAATGTTTTTTAATCGAAATATTTCCATAAAAGGAACTCGCTAATATATTGTAGATGAATTCATAGTGTATTGATAACAAAAATTTGCTTAATTTGGAACATTCGTTGGTAATTACTTATAATTGTAGTGATAATCAAGTCATAAATGGAAGAAGAGTCGCAAGCTATGTTACTTACATATTAGTGGTAATAGTTGTAATTGTGGTAAGAAAATAATCGAAGATAAAGTGTGAGGAAAAACACATCTTTTCAATAAATTTCTGCATGATTAAAGGGAATCATTCACTGCAACTTGGACATCCTCAAGTTTAGAAAAAAGATATTACATTTTGCTTGCCTCTCAAGATCCATGTCTTTTGTTTTCAACTTTTCATGTATCACGCATCTCTCGTTGCTTCTATGTTCAACCAATATTCTTACACCTTAAAATCATACTAAGATGTGAAAAAGACCGATTAATTAGATTTGTATTATTGTGATATAATTTCCATGTTGATGATGCTTACAAGTTACAGCGCTCATGTTTTCTTTATTTTTGTCATCTGCGAGCTATATTAAGGATGTGAATAGAAAAAAAAATTAACAAACCAAAATGTCTACCCACTAACCAAAATTGAAACGAAATATATTTAATATGTGAATATTTATTATACAGTAATAACAATTTTGTAGTATTAGATTATATTCATGTAAAACCCAACTAGAATATAATCTCGTGAAAGCAAACCAAGCCTAAACTGCATAAACCAAACTCAACCAAATAAGTCTACGAATTCTTAAAATCGAAATAAATAACCTAAACTGCATAAACCAAACCAGGCAGATAACCGAATACCCATCACTAGGCCCTATGGCCCCTGGTCTATATGATGACGACGATAAAGAAGAAAACAAAAAACAAGGGAAACTCAGAAGAGACAAATCCAACAAACTGCTTCAAATTAGTAAAAGAAGCAGAGAAACAAAGCATATAATCATACCATATATGTCCTTTGTGTTAACTAACACCAATGCTATACAGTCTATCATATTCCATCTTAAATGTGTCGGAGAAAAATCATTCATCCCCTCCCACAAAGCAAACCCAAACAGACAAAACTAACCCTTTTACCTTCTTTGTCTATATATCCCGACTGCACACTTGATATGATATTGAGACCGAGCGAGTAGTCAAGTGCGCAGACAGTACCCGATAACATAGCTGATGAATGCCACAACGCATACATACAGCAGAGGGAACCCATTGTGCACTTCTTTCACTATCTTCTTCGTTCTCAGTTCCGCCTGCATCATCATCAAAATACAAGCTTCGTTATTATGAAACTGTTTTGCTTGTCGGAGAAAGAAACAGCTATGTTTCCTCACTAGTATTCTCACCAGCTCATGTTGCAAGCTTTGTCTGTGTTGGGAGCTTATCGATCGCTCCTCCATTAGCTTTGAAATGGTTGAATCAGCCTGCACCGAATTCAAACTCTTTAGCACAGTAACATATAGCACGGAAGTTATGGATTTCTAAATTTGATAACCAGACCTGTTTTAACTTGGATTCAACAGCATCCACTTTCAGCTTCATCTCCTCAATGTCTTTAACCAACTTAAGTTCATCCAATCCTCTGGCATTCTGGCCATCTGTTTTCTGCAGCTGGACAACATCTCTCTCCTTAGGTACCTTTGGCTCATCGGAATAGGTTGCACTGTCAACTGAAGCTATTCCATTAGTAAACCCTTGATCCCTATGTAGATCCATGGCCTTCTTCATGGGAGCGTCCAAATTATTTGCATCATCTGCATCCTTATGAGACCTAATTGGATCGAATCCAGTTTCTTTTGCCATCCTCGATGAATCGTAGCTATCTTTAGTTGCCTTCAAGTCATTAGCAGTATATCGATCTTCCATAAAATCCACGGTGGCCATTTTTGGTGTCTTTAACTCCTTTGCATTGCCGGCTGCCTTTAAGTCATCATGTCCAACCATCCTAGGCTCTTTTGCAATCTCACCCTCCTAGAAAAACAAATTTTGAGAATAAATCCCTATTGCACCCAATAACTGTGATTATAGGCTAAGCTAAAATGGACTTGCTGGAAAATAACTACACTCACTGCTTGGAAAATTACCCTTCAGCAATTACTAACAAATCATAAAAGTTGTTGCGGAAAGGGATAACTACTCTTCTTACATATTGTGGCGGAGCTAGGGTCTCTGACTGGCTATATAAACGATCCTTGAGGATGGAATCTTTAAACCCTGCTTCCTGCTTCGGTGTATTGATTGGAGATAGTTCAGGTGAGTCAGACGGCGGCACAAGAGTGACTCTGAGTTTGTTCTCCTCGATGTGTTTGCCTTCCGCTTTCGAAAACTGCCAAGAGTAAATGAGTGTACATATATACTTGACAGACCAAATAACACTCAAATTCAGGATAAAGAAGATCAACAAGTGTTGGAATGCTTACCATGCTAGCTGTGATGTCTTCATCAGTTGTTTCCGCAGATACAGCAGTACTCTGGATTAAGAATTTGTCTTTGCAAACCATATCTGGAGGTGGTTCTTTAAAAGCTTGCATAATGACTGCATAAACAATATATACAACTCAATAACCCAAAGCATTGACTGAATTTGAATTTCAAGAACCCTATCATCAACCAGTTTACAATTTTGAATGCTCAAACCCAAAATGCAGGTTCCACGTAATGAGAAATAATTTGAACCTTAATAAGCAGATACCTTTTCTCTCGAACAACTACACTGAACTCTGCAAGCCTAGGATCCTAAGAAAATGTCCAAACGCTGTTCATGTCCAAGGGACAAAGGACAGATCTATGCATATATTCCAGTTCATTTCCCACCCCATGTAGACAGACATCATGTAACAGCTTATCACATCGGCCTAAGAATGTAGGTGCGAGAAATTTAAGCATTGCTGGGAAGGATATAAAAAGTAGGCATACCAGTGAATTCACAGGATGATTTTGGTGCAACAACACCAACATTTGGACGAACACAGTACTTCTTCGGTGATGTGGTTTTAACCTGTCAAAAACCACATCTAATTTAATTTTGTATACAAAAAGAATACTGTTTCTCATAAATTTTATAAGATATTCGAAATCCTGAAGCCAGAAAGAAAGAGAAAAAGTTTGAAAAGAATCTTCTTTAGACCTTAAATGCAACATAATGATGGGTAGTATTGGTTAGCTGTACCACGCAAGAACTCTGCTTCTTCAGGTCAACTACAAAAGATGAAACCAGTTAGTATTACAAGGATAAAAATGCCAAGGCAAAGATATTGTTTGACAACTTCCATTTTTTATTATGGATCCTCAGAATCGAAATGAGAGGTAAGAAACCACATCACAGAATTTCACCACATACAAATCCAGCAGCAAGAAGGAGTTTGAAAATTCCTCAAAACAACAGCCACATTAACATCACATCAACTCATCTTACAGGAGAACAGACCCACAAACATTAGCACCACTATGATAGAATTCTAATTAACGAAATAGTGAGAATTCAGAAAACTTGGTATTCATAACTGGAACATGTCTCTCCAGACTCAGCTTTCTGCTAAAATGACTATTTGGCCACTTTGCTTAAGGAATAACACACCCTAGCTATGAAATCCACATTTTACAAAAATATAAGAAACTATTAACAGGACCACAGTGTCTACTCACTGGAACTAAAAAATGATCATTTTGCAATTGATAAGAATCAGTGCCCTAATATCTTACCTGCAAACTGCAACGTTCGTGGTTGAATATCCAACAGCGGCATATTCATGTTGCTGGGACAAAATCACTCAGTATCAAACAGCTACCACTTGCAGCAGGATTCTCGCCACCCCTATTTCAACAAAAATTTGAGAAAAAAACGTAGATCAGCTCAGAATCACTCAACCATGAAACTGTCGACACCAGAAAGAAAAACAATATCAGATCAATACTCTATTTGGGACAATCATAAAACTCAGCTCTCCCATTGGGAACATGACGAAATCTAACCAAACAGTCAACCAGAACAACAGCGAAATCCCCTAAAAAATCAAGTAGTAAATTCAGAAAAGTTTCTGTGTGGAAATGTTTCGAGTCCGGATTCTCCTCTTCCGTCACCATAAACAAACCACCGCACTAACTGGTCGACGAAGCGTTCGCAAATCTGACTGTACGAACTCGCCTGAAGACTCAAACGTGAGTATATTTTACCTTAATGCGTTCGTCTTCTCTCAGCGATCCGGCCGACACAAATTTGTCGGCAACGCGCATTCGAGTAGCCGGAAAACCAAATCGTCCTAGTCCCCCAGTGAGCAGTTTGACGACGATCTAGTTACGCCCTCCATTAAAACAAAAGGGGGGGAAATAAAACGACGACGTTTACGAGGAGCGACTCCTCGGGATCTGCTAGCGAATAGGAAACTCAGATCACATGGATCTTCCCGAGCCCTAGCGATTTCGATTTCTAAAGCAAATTCTAAAGAAGAAAACCTCGAAACTCGAGGAAGAAGAACCTAGTTTCAAAACAAAAAACAAAAAAAAAAAAAGCCAGAGAAAATAATCAACGAGGCTTATGAAATCGGAAGAAAACCTTACCGTATCTCCGACGAAGAACTAACGGAACGAAACTAGAGATTGAGCGGCGAAGAAGCAGCGATCGAGGGAAAGAGAGAAGTGCAAAAACTAATCTTAGGGAAGAAGAAGGTTAGTGAAGGCCAAGTATGGAAAATGTATTAATGTGTTTGAACACATTAAAATTAAAATTTAAAAAAAAAAGTATGGTACTGAGATTGAGAGATGGTGAATATTTGTTGTACCTAACAGCAATTGCTAAACATATATAATTTGTTACGACTAATATTTTCGAAAATTTTGTAACAATTATCGTTCAAAACTAAAAGTAAAGTGAATTACATTCGTTAGATGCCAAAAATATGTGATTGTGAATACCTTTTTCTAATATGAATGCTTTGAGAGGATTACACGCGTGATTCTGATTCGGATCACCACCTTCTTTTGCTTCCCTTTTATGTAATTGTTTTCCTATCTTTTGCTTTTCCATTCATCTCTCTCCCTTTCCACCAAATGAAAGATTTGAATACGTAATCCTAAATATATTCTAATCGAGATTTAGTAATTTGGCCCAAAATATCTTTGTATTTTTGATATGTTGATATCATATCGATGTGTCATAGAAAACATAATCTTATTCTAATTAATATTGACAAATCTCTTATATTTCTATATTGAATCTCCGTCAAACTCGACTCGGTTTGGGTGGATCTCATCCATTTTCCAATAGTTTCTTTTATGTTAGGATTCTAAGTCTCCGTTTTTATCGATTTCAAGTTGTCGATCTATAGGGATCGTGGTCAACACTCAGTGTAAAAAGCTGATTCTGAATCTGTTGGTTGCAATCGTCCAATAACTTCACTATTGTTGATCTCTTTTTAAAAAGTTAATAACACTTGGTAAAACAACTCTTCAGCACGATCAACCACTATGCATGCAAGTAGATTGTCAAGTCTTGATAGAGTTTAAGCTATCAAATAGTAGAGGAATGGAGAAAGATTGCATTGAGTCAACTCTCTCGAGAGAGAACAAAGAGGTATTCATTAAAAAAAAAAAAAAAAGGAACAAAGAGGAAATGTTGTGGAGTAGTTTTAGCCTCAATCTCCCAACAAACTCATGAGCTTACTAGCTCCAAGCTACCTCTTCCTAAACTGTATCGCCCATTGTATCTTATTATAAAATAACTAGTGCAAGTACTAAAGGTTCAAACAAACTTCGAACTTCTACTCCAAAGCTAGCTCATTCTTTCTCTGCTTTGCTTTTTTCGATCCACTTTTGACTCAGTCTTCTGTGGCTTCTCTTTAATATGCTTATCAAGTCTCTTATACATTGTTTAGCTATAGAAGTAAAACAAGAAAGTTCTGTTTCAGGTGTTTCTTTGATTTATCCGATCCATAGGCTTTAGCTCCTTTGTATCATCGCCGGCCTATAACTTATCATGTTGCAAGCTTTGTGTATGTAGAACTAGGGCAGGAAAAAAAACCCTAGCCTTTGAGCGGCCGCTTCTCTCCATTCTCTCTCCTCCTTGAAGACATAAAATAGATCTAATTGTTTTTTACCTGGTTTGATCTTCATCGTCGGTGCTGCGTCTTCTTGATTGAGTTTCAGGAGTGAGCAAGGGCACTGCTCCGTCATGTAGTCGAAGCTGATCTGGTTCGACGAAGGAGGTGTCTTGAAGCCTTGGTTCCCGGTTGAGGACGCCGTGGAGTGCTTCGAAGATCCTCAAGGCTCAACCGTCTTTCTTGTGGCAGTGGCTATGGCGGAAGTTGATGGCGAGAAGGTGGGTTATGCTGTTTTAACTTGCATTCAAGAGCATCCACTTTCGGCTTCATATCCTCAATTTCTTTAACAAGCTTAAAATGAACATGATGAAAATAACTACACTCAGTACTGCTTGGCAATTACTAGTATCTCAAAAACTTAATAAGTCTTTTATATTGTTGGGTGAAAAGTCACTGTCTATTTCTTAAAGCTAAAATTTACGACAAAACAAAAAAATATGACTAAAAAAACTTGTTAAGCGTGCAATCAGTGACCAAGGATACACGATGCATGCAGCCAATTTTAGATTTTGAAGTCTTGTATATACATATTGTTCTGTTATAGTTGTAAAACAAGAAATTCTGTTTCAGTTACTTGTTTGATTTACCAAAATTAAGGAGATAACAATTTGGGAACGCATAAATAATGCCTCTGAACTAAATAACAATATTTTCGTAATAGTGTGATAATAAACACACAACCAATAAATAGGCCATCAAATTTATGTTTAAACTTATACAACCAACCAATAAATAGGCCATCAAAGAGATGACAAAAAAAAGTCATGAACTTTTGTCCAATCAAATTTGACCACATCAGCAGAGAAAAGTCAAAGTTAGGAAAAGTCTATCTTGGATTATCAAGTGGCGATCAGTCACCTACCACCCAGCTTTTGGACCTCGTGGACTTATATAGAAAACAAACAAAGTAACCACACAGGCACACACCAAGAGAGAACACAGATTCAGAGAGGAAATTCAGCATTTTTTTTGATAGCTCAATCACTTACTCTTTCCAAAGGGGTTTCCTGAGGTATGTTTGATTCCGTTTTGGTGTAATTTTTTGTTTCAAATCTTAAATCGATTCTTGTCATGTTTGACCTCCTCTGTGCTGATTTTGATCGTTTCCTATTCCAACTCCGAATCTACGTATAGGTCTCTTTAGGAATTGGTTTTACGATTTATGATCGACGGATCTATTGATTCATTTGCTTGTTTTCTCTTGGTTTTATCACTAGTAAGAGTTATTATAGCTTGGATTGTTGGATATAGATGAATCTTTAATGGGATTAAGATCTATGTTTTGGTGCGCACTTAAAAAGCTTTAAAATTTAGCTGGGATTGATGTTTTCATGTTTTTGGGTTTCCATATCTGTTCCTTGTCTGTTGAGCATCTTTAATTTATTGTTGTCTCTGGATATGAATGTTTTTTTACAGATCACAAAAGGCCAACAAACAATGGCGAAAGGAGTTGCAGTTTTGAACAGCAGCGAGGGTGTTAAGGGGACTATCTTCTTCACCCAGGAAGGAGATGGTAGTTTTTTTTTTATAACATCTTTGAAGCCTATCTTTATATTTAATTTTCCTTCTTTTCAAATGATTGAGTTCTTTGTGTTGGTTTTTTGCAGGTGTGACCACTGTGACTGGAACAGTTTCTGGCCTTAAGCCTGGTCTTCATGGTTTCCATGTCCATGCTCTTGGTGACACCACTAACGGTTGCATGTCTACTGGTAACTCTTATTATACATACCTCTCTGCAATTTTTGAAAGGATTATCAACTTTTGGAGCTTATAGTTATCTTTCGAATTGGGAATTTGTTATCTTAGGTCCACATTTCAACCCTGATGGTAAAACACACGGTGCCCCTGAGGATGCTAATCGCCATGCTGGTGATCTAGGAAATATCACTGTTGGAGACGATGGTATTCCTTCTCAACATTTGTATCCCTCATCTCTAGCTTTTTTTAGAGCACTTTTGCATCTCATTTTTTGCTACACTCTCTTTCTCTCTCAAATTTGATTTTGCAATCTTAGTTTTATACTACTTTTTTCATCTTTCACCAGCTTTATTGTTCATGGATTTACATAAAAATATTGTTTTGCTTTTCTCAGGAACTGCCACCTTCACAATCACTGACACCCAGGTTCATAGCTGTGTACCTGTTTTATGCTCTTTTTCCTAATCCAAAACTGCTATAGTGAACCAATCTCTTAAGATGCATTTTGTGTTCGTTTAACAGATTCCTCTTACTGGACCAAACTCTATTGTTGGAAGGGCTGTTGTTGTCCACGCAGACCCTGATGATCTCGGGAAGGGTATTGACCTTTGACCATTTTTTTTCTTTTGAGATTTTATTTACCCTTATTATGCTAACAGAATTTAAAGGTTACCTAGTCCATTTGAGGGCATCTAATGGATAATGCTTACGATTCAACATCCATCCTAAGAACAGTTTATAACCTTGGTTTTTTTACATTTTCAGGAGGCCATGAACTCAGCCTGGCTACTGGAAATGCAGGTGGCCGTGTTGCTTGCGGTAAGTAAAACTATAACTACATTTTTCTCACATCTCCTGTGGAAAATCATGTATATTCTATTTAGCCTTGATCGTTACCATCACTGTCACCTTAAACTCCATTGATTCTCTGGTAACTCAAGGTACATCTTGGTTTATTTCTTATCTTGCATTTTGGGGTTTCGCTGGAAACCATCGTACATCATTCATATCTGAATATGTTTTATAGTGTTTATATGTTTGGGAAGTGAGTAGAGATTAACTATAGGTTCGTGGGACTTCAGTCCACAGAACCAAATCTTCTGATACTACAGTTTCATTCCGAATGAATTCTCAATCAATCCAATAGACCCGCAAAGGATCAACTGACTGGCCTTTTGTCTACCATTTTGCAGGCATCATTGGTCTTCAGGGCTAAAGCTGCTACGTTTCCAAAGAAGATATTGTTGTAATAACGAGGTCCAACCTTAGACCTGGGTTGGGTAGTTTGTGTGTGTGTTTTGGTTTGTGGCTAAAACCTATGAGCTTAGTGTGGCTCGATGCATTTTTAGTTCAGACAGAAAACAGAGAAAATTCCGTACTTCTATCATTTCATGAATAAAAAAGAGTTGGTTTACTAAGTTCTTTCTTTATATACTTAATTGTTTAATCGAGCTAACCTTCAATTGAGGCATCTGTATCGTTATTAAATTATCTCCGCTTTTCTGGTCATGTAATTATGCAAGTGATTCATGCTCTCCTGAGTTGTTTCTTATTAACAAATTCAGACTCGGAAAGTAGATCGATTTACATTATCAATCCTTTTGGACAAAAATGGAGATACAAGTTAAAATGGTGATATTTGAAACGTTTCTTGATGAGTTGTTATGGTTTTAGGTCCCCCGGCAAAAGATTCAAGATACCTGACTGCTCCTTAACCTTGTTTAGAAGAAGCATCAGAAGTGGAACTCTTGAGAGTGTTCTTTGTGATCCCACCATTATCAACTTTTTCTGTCCAACCCAAACAAAATTTCAATCAATGATCAATGGAATAGACAACATTACTCAACACCATATCCATATGTTCTCTCAGTCTCACCTTTGCTCGTGTTATAGCAACGTTGATCCTATGCCAATCTCCGAGCAATGAAGA